ACAAGGAAAAACCGAACGCTAGATCTTTTCCCGGTTAGAGAGAACCAAGAGAAAACCGATGCAACAGGTTTTGCAGAGAAGACCAGAAAACCAAACCACTTGTGCTGCAACTACTACTATTATTACGAGTTCATGCCTCTGATGAACTGCAGCCAAAACCCATGTGGACAATAAAGAGGGTCGGTTGGATTTTATTTAATGAAGGTTTTTGTTGCTTTGTGGCAAAATGGGTTTAAGTGACATGCGTTTGAAGAAAAGTGTGAAAGAGAAAAAGGAGGTTAGTAGATGGAGACGTGTAGTAAATGTTGGTTAGGTTTTAAGGTTTTTTGTGGAGGTTTCAATGTGAAGTTTGAGCATGTTAAGGTTTGAAAGCTGAGACTGTGTATCTGAAAGCTTTGATGTTTCATTGTCTGTGTAAGGAATATATTTAAGTATTAGATGTTAGAGTTATTAAATGAGGTTTTCTTGTTCAACAATAGGCTGTCTTTTTCGTCTTCTGTAGTTTATCTGCGACTGTTTGGGAAAGAGAGTGATATGGAGATGACATTTGAATTAGAAATCCCTGTAGATTTTCCAGTGAGTTAACCTTTTGTTTTAGTTAGTATTTTCCAGATCAATTTCATATTTTGGATGAAGTGAAAGATAGGAGCAATTTATTCACAAAGGCACACGTACGTAAATGAATTAACCCATATATAGATGCATATAAAAGGCACATGTGCTTAGAATGCAAACTAGAGATGTCCAGTGAATTTAACCTTTAGAACTTGTAGTAATGCTTAAATTGATGCATGAGGTTTACAGAAACACCACAATCACTTGGAAGAATCATAGGAATATAATGAGAAGAATTTATAAGCTGTTTCAACGAATTTATTACAAAAATCAAAATTCAAAAAGGAACCGATCAATGTACAAAACTTTTTTTTGGCACCTTTCTCTGGGCAACTAAACACTAGACACCAAAATGTACAAAATCGCAAACGCTTCAACTGCAAAAACACAAATGAACATCCAAATGCTATCGTATGTTCGCCCAGAAATGTGGGAGCTAACCTCAGTTTCTCATGTTAGATTACATCCAGCTTCAATGTGTCAAAAAATATCGCCCGCAGAGAATGCTTGGGAAGAAGGCCCTGCAAGCTCAGGCTACTCCGCTCTCTCTCTCTCTGTTTGGATGCGGATGTAGCCAAAGAATTGAAAGAATTAGCTACACATGTAAATTAAAGAATGCACCAAAAAGATTCCAGTAAAAAGAATGTGTCAGGTGGCTGATGCTGTTGTTTTGTCCCTCCGGCACATACAGTCAGGGCAAGGGAATATGTAAATGGAGTCGCTAGGTCGTTTCAGCTCAAACCCCTTGGAGTCACTATGAGACCTCATGCTAAGCATTTGCCGTTTAAAACTTCTCCATCTGCCAGTAAAAGGATCAATCCGAGAGTTTTTTTACCAAAAAGCATGTATATACATAGGTAGAAGAGGTGAAATTCGTTACCCCAGCTTGGGATTATCAAAGAGTATGGCTAACTTTCGCTTGTCAGGCCGAATCGTCTTTGAATGTCCTCCAAATAAATACCTCCGATGTCCCATGAGAAAATGAGGGAAGTTTCCACCTTGTGTTGTCACAAATACCTCACTGTGGAGACACACTGTGTAATCTATTGCAGCCATTCTCGAGGAGAAGCTCTGAACACAGACAAAGTTTGATGAGTCATAAAAGATTTATTACGAGGATGAACAAACGGTGAAAGATCGCGGAAACCACACGCAGACCTTAAAAGGAGCCAGTTCTTCCTCAGACGCAAGCATCTCCTTTGTCTGTAGATTAGGAAACATCTGAAGTAGTGGAGCCATAGTTCTATTCGCGCTATATATTGGGCCAGAGGCAAGGTATATATATGTGCTTTTGTTGAATCCCATTCCTCTAAGCATCAAACCCACCTGAATATGTACAAGAAAGACAATTTAACCAACAGGAACAAGTACTCTACTCACATCACTGCACACAAGGGTTCGCACTTTGCACAGCTACACTGATTATTCCACAGCAGTATGCACATGAATAAATATAATAGGAAGATATTTTCGTAATGTTAATACTTAATATAGACATCAACTGTGGATAGTAGAGTAGTGTCCAGAATCAAAAGAATTGTGCTGACCTCCAAAGGAGTTAAAGGGCATTTCCCATTGAGCCTTATAGCTCCTGGTCGTATCACACGGCCCGGTTTTGTGAACTTCCCTTTCCATCCCCGTTCTCTCGCCGCCATCATATCTTGCTTTTCTTGGTCGCCACCATCAAATACGCAACAAGAGAAAGCTACCATATCCTGCAACATGTTCTTATAATGTATTATATCTTTCACCTCAGACACAGATCTGTATTCAGAATATACAGCCATGATAAAGACCAGTGGCAGATTCGTGAAGCGTTTCTTCTTTACAGGTAACAAACCTCTTCAAAACGAAGATGCACAGAGACATACTTCCCGCCGTTGTTTGCACTAAGCTCTTTCATTTTCTTCACAAGTGTTTCCCCTTGGGTCAGTATGGGTTTCGAGAATCGCAAAGCAACATTATTCGCCAAACATCTAAATCTCTGGACAGCTCGAGGAGCATCAAACGAAAGTCTATTTGCAAATGGGGAAATTCTTATAACCCTGTGCCACGAGAAGACAATAAATACTTCAATAACCAGTGTCCTAAATCAGATAAAGAATCCCTTACACAAAAAACAAGGTGGCTTCTTATGGAAACCAACTTCTATTAGTTAAGAAGTACGTGTGGCTCACTTTTCTTCAAGTAGCTTAGGCAGGATTGAGTCCCGGTAATAGTGAGTAGGTGCCCATGCTTTAACTCTGAAGTTGTAGACATTTGTCAAGTTATAGTCAAAACGCTCCATTAAGTATTCAGGAACTGTATGGACTACCCGCACATCATTTGCTAAGGTACTGACAAAGAATTCTTCATCATAGATGTCCCCAAATTTACTGCAAGTAAAAACTTTTGTCAGAAAGTGTTTGAAAAAGGGATGGCTTTACTGAATGTACAACATCAGAAGAAGATGAGAAAGTAAAAAAAATCCCAAACCTCGGATCTTTCCATATGCTGTGATAGTGAAAGTTTGGAATTACAAGGGTCGCATTAAGGTAGCCTGCCACAGCAACCGCATTGCATATCTAAGCAAAAACATGGTAGAGACGGGTCAACAGCTTTACCATTTAGTTTTAGACAAGGTTGCCAGATACAGGCAAGAAGGATTGAATGAAACAAATCAATGCGATGTAAGATGAAAAGATAGACAAACCAACCGAAGTCCGCTGCTGATTCAAGCCTCCATTTGCCTCAATGAATATGAAACCATTTGACTCAGGCAAAACTACAATTGTAAACACACACACACACAAAAAAAAAAACAACATCATTGATTATTTGACCCAAACCCAGTGTAATTCTGTTCTTTCGGGCAGAGCTTCATTAGTCATGTAGTTTTTTCATGAAATGCTTCATCAATGCTATAAATTATTGCACAGAGGACAAGCACACTTATGAAGAAACTACGAAAGCTATGTAATACCTCCATTAGACTTGTTCACGCATGGCTTCCATTCCACACCTTTATAGGAACGTTTCCAAATTGTTGATATCTGAGATGAATACAATTGCATTGAGGAAGGATAGCATGTAAACAACAAAGTATCTTATATTTAATAATTACTCCGTTGCAATGCTAGCTATATAGAGAATACAGCTGTATCACTGGTCGACCTAGCCACACAAACAACAAGTAGGGACAATGGTAAACAGAGCAATAAATTCCCCTAAACATTGTACTCAATTTGGATCGATCTAAAACTCCTGGGCAAACTTATGCATTTGATTTGAGAAATGTGGGATTACTCCTAAAGAGACTAACTAAACACATCATACTTCTCCGATTTTGTCAAATGTAAACGTACGACTGATTCAATGAATTGGGATAATTCAGCTCACAAGCACCGAATCGCCCAAGAAAGTCTTCAACCACATGCCCATTGAACAAAAACAATGCCCACATTCCCAAACGGAATTCGACAAAAAGCGGGAAAAAAAACGGAGGCAAACCTCACCGCATCAGCCGTGGTATTATCGGCGTCAATCTCCGCACGAAGCTTAGCGTAAACATGAGGGCTCTTGTAAACGGATCCCGGAGCGGGACGGCGATGAACAATGGGACCCGAATCAAACGACGCCGTTCGCATGTGAAACATCATACAAGAGATGTACATGAGAGGAGCGAGCAAGAGAATTCCCTGACGCCGGAGAAGAACCGATAATAGAAACCATGAGAGACGGTGAGCGAGCGTCCGGCTAGGCTGTACGGTTCCTCCTCTAGAGCGACTCCGGCAGAGACGAGGTGAAGACGGCGGAGAAGGGGTACTTTGGCCGCTTCCGGGAAGCCGATTTGGAATCGAAAGATCTCTCTCTGCCTGGGAAATCATTGGTTTCCCTTCTCCTCCTCCTTCGTCAACGCGTTACGCCATAATAATGCGTCCTTTGCATTGCGGAAAAAATGGCAGGTGGCAAACGCCGATTGGACAGGTTTTTATTCCGGCGGCGAAGAAACTGTGAAGTACCAGTGAGTGAGAGAGAGAAATTTTTATAATTTTTGTACACTCGTGCGGTGGAAGCGTGATCGATCACATGCACTTTACACCCTTTTTTCTTCTTTTTTTTTATATACATTGGACTCTTGTGTTTATTAGTTGTATACATTTTTTTTATTATCTGATCTTTCTTCATTTCCTTTTAATGGAAAACTATCATGATTCATGAATTTGGATTGAATGAATGCACCGGTTTCTGATTATGGTTACTTGTATTGGTATAGGCATTATCCAAAAATAGCCTCGGGCTATACACATTTTTGGGATTAAGAAAATAAACACTCAATACGAAAGTATATAATGATTCTAATCGACAGGAGATCATTGAATCAAACAAAAAACACTATGTACTCTATTGCAGTTTGCGACAAGACAATACTCAAATTGTTAAACACCTAAACGAGTACCCAAACCCCCTGTTTACTTGTCTTTAAGAAATTAGGATTCTCCAAACATTTTGCGATTTTCAAATGCTGAGACATGTAAGGTAACTCCTCATACCTCGACCTGATCCGACTGAAGAAATGTAAGGCTGCCGAAGCAATCCGGCAGAAAACTGAGCTTATGTAACCTAGTTATAGCTTGATCAAGTACACACACACTAAACTTAAACTAGCAACCACATCGGCTGTTGAAATTGATGCGTAAAATGTAGACGCAAAACATTCAACGGATTGCGAAAAAGAAAAGAAAAAATAGGAACACTAGATGCAACACTTTGGCTTATCCATGTGATTGATGCCCATTTGAAAAAACTCGAATGTGATTTAAGATTTAAGACAATCCTCATAGGTAAATGTCAATGATAAACATCAAAGTCTAACCACATCTTCAAAGATAACTAACTTATAAAATAACTTGTTTATACTCAAACACAAACGTTAACAAGAACGCTTGTAGCTGAGTTAGCGAACTTAGCCTTTTCAATCCTCGTGCAAAGTCCCCAAAACGTCCTCATCCCGGAAGAGATGGTACCTGCATCAAAACATCACACAAAACAAAAGTTCCTTACTCTCCAGTCTAATTTCACATTTGTAACATCAAAAAGTTTTACACATGAATCAATATGTATATATGATGTTGAAATTGACATTCCTTTCCACTGATCAATAATTTTCCCACTACTCAGACATTCTATAAATCAGGAGGAGTTACAGGATTTCCAAACGATTGTACAGGTAATTCTTTAATTTTGGATATTCTAACTACCTGACAATGAGCTAATTGAACAAGATTATCTACACATCACCAAATAAAAAGTCTAATTACAATACTCCCATTTCCTAATGATCTAAGAGGGCAACAAAAACGTAAAATTAAGAGAGGAAGTAGGTTTTACGTACTCGTTCTCGCCGAGCTTGACCTGAGTACCACCGTATTCCGGAAGAAGAACAGTGTCGCCTTCCTTGACCGAAACCGGAATCAATTTCCCGTCCTTATCCCTTGAACCAGGTCCGACTGCTATCACCTTGCCTGAGTTAAGCTGTAAAACACCGGGAAATGGTCATCGTTTCTCAGATCTTTTGAGGACCAAATCAGAAGATAAATCGTGAAATTAAACGCTCTTTACCTTGGTGGATTTCTCCGGGAGGAGAATTCCGCTTTCGGTTTTAGCAGGCTGGATGACTCTCTGCACAAGGATGCGGTTGAACGTTGGGATCAGACGCTTCATCATTTCTTCCTTAAGCGAATCTCGATTCTTCTTCTCTCGGATCAGTCAGAGAATTCTAGGGTTTATGCTGAGTGAGTGCTTTAATTGGGGGCAGAGACAGTGAAGACGGAAGGTTCTAGATCGTAGGGTTTATAGGGACAGAAAAAGGCCAAGGGTTTTAGGGATTATTGGGCTTATAGTATCCTGGTATTTTATTTAATGGGCTTGGCCCATTTGTAGATGGAAATGTACTAGTTCAAAGTTAAGGAGTGTTCACGTAACTGAGGAGACGAAAACAATTGTGGTGAACCATTTTTACTTGATGTTTAATAGTGTATGCAATTTGTGTTTGTTCACGAACATTAAGCTGTTCAAATTCTTGTTGTTCAGAAATTTAAATTACTGTTAATCATCTATAGGATATTGTAAGAAATTCCATCATAGTGACCTTGCATTTGCTGCAGTGACTGGTAATCTTGCGTTCTGGCTTATCTTTTATCACATGTTGGAACCAAATTTCTTAGCTTTCGTTGTTAGTCGTGCTGCTAGCGATGGTCGTGAAGGCCGTTACACCTATCAAAGTGATCAGTATTGTGTCTCATCTTACATGTTTATTACATTGAGTGTGGGCATTTCATGTTTTATACACCACACATGCTCTGGTTTTTCTTAGTATGAATCTGAATAGTCGATTTATACCATTGTTGTACAAATGAGGAAAAAGAGTGTAAAGAACAATAGGCTAAGTTCCAGATACATGAGTTTGACTTTGGAATAACAACACTAAGTATACAGCTGAAAAAAAAAAAGGAGGTTGCTGTTTTATAAAACATCGACGCCACTAGCCACTTCCATCGAGTTGTCCTTGAGAAAGAAGGTGAGCCATGTATTGCTGCATGCACAACCAAAGAACTCAACACTTTTGTTCTATTGAAACATGGCAACCACAAAGTCTGCCTACACCTAGTATCTATGGAAACTAGCCTTTAAACACAACACTATTCGCACCAAAGAGACTGAATAAACTTACTGAGTGGTAAACGTATGGAGATTTTCCCTGACGCTCAAAATGCTTAGCCATTATACAGAATTCGACAGGACCCCAATCCTCAGATTCATAGCAATTCCCAAGGGCAGCTTTGTACAGCTTTACACAACAAACCCCATTTCATCAAATTCCACACTCATATGTAATTCACAATGAACAAATCCAACTATGTAAACTCTACACAACAAACAAATGTCTTTGTCATAAAAAAAAAAACAAGAGCTAACCTTTGCTGTGTCGGTCAGAAGTTCGGTACCGGCAGGGTAAGATGCATAAAACTGATCGCCCCTGGAGAATCCTGCTCTTGTTCTACACAACATTCGAATCCGTAAATTAAAATCAAACAAGACCAGAAGCAAAATTAAGAATAGAAGAACCCAAACAAAGCAGAGGAAGAAACAAAGAAAAAAAAACATCGAGAGCGTCTGCGAATTTAGAGAGGAAAAAACACCCAAACCCACATACATCGAAATTGAAAAGCAAAAGAAACCAAATGAAGCAAATTGAGATCGTAGAGGCTAAAATTTGAAGACTTTACGTGTTGTTTGTATAGAAGAATGTGAGGGCAGCAGTAAAACAGTAGAATCCGGCGTAAGAGACGACTCGTCGTAACTTCTGGATCTTTATAATCTCATTGCAAAGATCCAAGACCATCGTCTTCATCCTCTAAACTCCAACTCGCACAAACGGAGTAAGAAACCTATGGAAAAGTTCTCTCAGGTAATTATATCGAACACCTTGTGATCACTTTACCAAAGATGACCACGCATTACACAGTTTGGAACCCCTCGCGAAAGTTGCAAATGGCCAAGCAAATGGTAAACATCAATAAGGCCTTGTAATGTCCAATTTATTATGGGCTTAATTGAGCTTTTTCATATTGGGCCAAACTAAAAGTCTTAAAAGCTCATTCTCCTTCTGATCAGGTTAAATAGAATACAAACTAATCAATATGAGATCTTATTACAAAAATTCACCTTCTTTCCCTATAACTATGTTATCTATAATTGTTGTGATGATAGTATCCCCTTTTAATTGTCGCCGATGATTGAAAGGGATAATAAACAACATTAGTATGCATGTTCTTCAGTATTAAATAATTATGTATTGTATAATTGAGACAATTAATTAAGAGTCTAAACATTTTATTCGTGTTTATGCAATTAAGGTAGTAACCACGTGTTGATAAAAAAATACCACCAAAAGACTAGCCACGTTACATTGGTTATTACAAGACAAAACACAAAAGTATGCTTTGCAGTCAAATAATACAAAAGGGATCTTTTATGTAAAGCCACGAGCTAGTGGCGATAATGGAGCACGTCCCTACGCTTTTCTTCTTGCTTTCCACTCTCTTCCTCGCCGTCTCCGTCGTGTCTCCTCCACCGCCACTATTTCCCGATGAAGCTCTACCCACTAAATCCGGCTACCTTCCGGTCAAACCCGCCCCTGGCTCCTCCATGTTCTACACCTTCTACGAAGCCCAAAACCTGACCACTTCTCTTGCCGACACTCCACTCCTCGTTTGGCTCCAAGGTGGACCAGGCTGCTCTTCCATGATTGGTAACTTTTACGAGCTCGGCCCTTGGCGCGTGGTTTCACGCCCCAACCAGCTCGAGCCCAATCCAGGAGCCTGGAACCGCCTCTTCGGCTTACTCTTCATCGATAACCCCATAGGAGTAGGATTCAGCATCGCTGCCTCAAAACAAGACATACCAAGAAACCAGAGACAAGTCGCGGAACATCTGTACGCGGCGCTCGTCGAGTTCATCGAGCAGAATCCCGGTTTTGAAAACCGACCGGTCTACATAACCGGCGAGAGCTACGCCGGTAAGTACGTTCCGTCCATTGGTTACTACATCCTCAAGGAGAAACCAAACGGGAAAGTGAATCTAAAAGGTCTAGCCATTGGAAACGGACTGACCGACCCGGTGACCCAAGTCCAGACCCATGCGGTCAACGTCTACTATTCGGGTCTAGTCAACGCAAAACAGAGACAAGAAATAGAGAAAGCGCAGGAGATATCCGTAACTCTCGTGAAGTCTCTGAAATGGCGTGAAGCAGCAGATGCAAGGACCGAGGTTTTGACGTTACTGGGCAACATGACCGGATTCGCGACGCTTTACAACACGGCCCGAGCCATCCCGTACAGGACGGACCTCGTTGTTGACCTTTTAAACCAGAGAGAGACGAAGCTGGTTTTGGGAGTGAACGAAACGATGCGTTTTGAGGATTGTAGCGATCTAGTGGAAGATGTGTTGCGTGGAGACGTAATGAAGAGCGTCAAGTTCATGGTGGAATACGCGGTGGAGAGGACTAAAGTGTTGTTGTACCAAGGTATGTTGGATCTTAGAGACGGTGTCGTTTCGACGGAGGAGTGGATCAAGACAATGGACTGGTCGGGTTTGGAGATGTTTTTGACGGCGGAGAGACGGGTGTGGAAGGAAGGCGACGGTGGAATCGCCGGGTATGTTCAGAGGTGGGGGAATCTGAGCCACGTGGCGGTTTTTGGAGCTGGGCATTTCGTACCGACAGATAAAGATGTTAATTCGAGAGATATGATTGAAGGTTGGGTCTTGGAAACAGGATTGTTCGGTGGTGAAGATATCAGACAGACAATTCCTTCGAGATTTGTCGAATCTTCGTGAGTTTGTAGAAGGCGAACCAGATTCAATCCAAATAAAATTCTGAATCTAATTGTATTTTTGATTTTGGTTGTTCTCAAATTCCAAAAGTATAATATGTTCTCAAATTAATTTATTTATATGAATCTTGGATGCAATTTCGCTTCTGGGCTTATCATTTGCCCGGTTTCTGAAACTTTAATTATTATACTTTTAATTTTGGTTGTTGTGTTTTACATATCTTGGATGCAAATTTGGTCCTGGGTTTATCATTTGCTTATTTTCTGCAAGCTTCATACAAATAAAACATTTAAAAGTATGAGTTTAAAAGATGAGTTTATGAACAAATAAAACAATGTAATGGCGATTGGAGGCGGGATTGTGATTGAGATTCAAAGTGATGAGTATAAAAATATACACAACACAATGAAAAGCACATAGAAATCCCGTACTATGATGCCATTTTCGTTTTAGGGAAGAAGAGGAAGAGCACCCTGTAGAAAACCTACAGGTATTTCAGAGCTATTAATCAATTCTCTCCCCTGTTTTACCTCTTTTCCCAAATAAATTTTCCCAGAAAAAATCTTTCG